ATTCTATTCTATTCTATTCTATTCTATTCTATTCTATTCTATTCTATTCTATTCTATTCTATTTTCATCAGTCTATTTGTAGGGCTGTCTTTAAAGGTCTTTTGGAAACTAATCTAAATCGCACTAGCACAATTGTTTTATAGAATACATACTACAGTCACACTATAGATATATACACAGACTGTAGTGGTTACCAACTGATTTCTGAGCTCAGTAGAACTGTTATACAATACTTAAGGAAGGGGAATTTGTGGGCTTTCCATTATTATGTCACTACATTGTCAAGTAAATCTAGCCAAAAGACACACTGGTGAGCAATACTGAAATTGGGTCAGAAACATTTTGTGAGTCATAGATGATCCATCTTTGATATAAACTTTTAAATAAGAATGTCTTCACATTTTGTTTTTGTTCTCTTGGACTCTGGAGTGATCTTTACATTTGAGGTCCACTGATTTTTTTTTTTTTCTGTTTTGTTGCTAAGATTTTTGGGGAATTGTGTACAGCTAATTCTGTCCTACTAAAGTTTTGAATCAATGCAATAGAATGTAATGTAAGAAATTGTATAATAAACTGTATTGATGTGGTTCTCTCTCCAGTTTTATTGACTAGTTTGGGTCTTTGTTCTAGAATTCTTCATGATGTAGACTTCAACTTTTTCCAGGTTTGATTTGATTGCAAATGGAGGAGGATCGCTAACTCTTCATTTTGAACGAGCCCCATTCATGAGTCAAGAGAGGACAGTGTGGCTACCATGGAATAGCTTCTATGCAATGGATACCCTCACTATGAAAACTGAAGAGAACTCTATTCCCAGCTGTGACTTAAGTGGTTTTATCAGACCTGATCCTGTTATAATTTCATCACCACTTTCCACCTTTTTCAGTGATGCCCCTGGTCGAAATTCAATTGTTCCAGAGACCCAGGTATCAAACATAGATACTAAAAAAGAAAAGAAAAGTCACAATAAGTTTTTAATCATTATTTTCTAATAACAGCCCTATAACAATTATATTGCTTTAATTCACATTTTATAATACCAGTTATCTTGAATATTTATATTGGCCTCTCTTCATAAATATAAAATATTTCTTCATAAATATAAAACAGAAGCAGATATATGCATTCAGAGATAAAAGCAGAATTTATTGGTATATGGCTATGATGTGTTTGGCAATATTCATTAATATTTACTAAAATACTAATATTTTCATTAATATTCTTTGTCACAAACGCCTATACAAATTCAGTTGCATTTGTCCATTCTTTGAACTTGAAAAAGTACAGTTCTAGGAGAAATGCTTGCTTAGACATTTTTCATGAATGTTACATTTATGTGCTGAATTGGGAACCAAGATTTTCAAATCCAAGCCTTGATCACATTAATAAAGGCAACATAAGTATTACCCACAAATTTCAGACAGTCTTGAAACATCTTAGTAGAATATATATGTATTCTACTAAGATATATATGTATATCTTTGACTTGTATGTATTGTTCATGACAAACCCTGAATCTCTAGGATCAGGTTCCTAATTCAGCACTTGCTTCTTCTAGATATAAATATAGAAATTAATCATCAGAAATGTTCCTGTGTAAAAGAACAAACCTATTTAATGATGATGGATGTATTGTGCTAAGCTTTTCTTGTTCATTCTGTATACCAAATTTTTTTGAAAACCTTAAACCTTATCAAGTTTTCTCTCTAGATTATAAAATCACATTGAGCAGGTCAAGATAGGCATAAGGCCAGCAGGCAAGTTGCCTCTTGCCACAATCACATAGAAAAAGAGTTGATTCTAGAATTTAAAGTGCAGATACACAAGGTGCTGAACCCTCCTCCCCCAAATGGCTTTGCCTCCCCAGGCACTTTCTCCTCAGCCAAGATGCAATACTAGAAGTGAACTTCTAGGAGAGCTATGGAGAAGAGCTATGGGAAGAGGTAAGGAGTAAGCATGGGGAGAGTTCAGTTCCTCTCACCTACATGTCTCTTTTAATCTAAACAAAAACCTGATACATATCCCATCTCCATTCTTGCTCTGCATGAAATTGTCACAGATTCAGGTTTGAGCAAGCATCCTACTTGGCATGTTTGCAAAAACATCATACATGCAGCTGAAGCATGTGGCATACCCAGATGATAAGGGGACGTTCCATCATCTTCATTGCTACTGTTATTCTGCTTTTCCCACCCCTTCCCCTTAGGCATCCTTGCTACTTTAAGATGATTGTCAGCAATAGTTGCAACTTCATAGCATTACAGCTTCATGGGGCCTTCTTGCATAAAACTAGCAATCAGATCTGTGATTCTTACTGATGCTTTTGCCAACAGTGGAGATTTTAAAAGAAGCAGTAACAGTGGCCAAAATTTTACTAATTCAGAAGTCCTATCCTCAGTCTTACCATTGCAGGAAGGCAAGCAAAATTTCATAGCATATTTTACTTTAACCTACAAATACAACCCATGAGCTGAACCAAATAAATCTCTTCCATACCACACTCATTTAATATGAACTCTCTTTCCTTACTTAGGTTCTTCATGAAGAAATTGAGATTCCAGGTGCCAACATAAAGCTCTGCTATCTGAGTTCCCGTACTGCTGGATACAGATCCTTGCTTAAAATCACCATGACACAATCTCTTGTGCCTCTGAACTTAATTAAAGTTCATCTCATGGTAGCAGTGGAAGGGCATCTTTTCCAAAAGTCATTCCAAGCATCTCCCAATTTGGCATATACTTTCATTTGGGATAAAACAGATGCCTATGGCCAGAAAGTTTACGGGCTCTCGGATGCTGTAGGTATGATCACTAGATTCAAATCATGTAACTTTTAAGTGCTGGCTTTCAACAACTGCTCTTAAATTAAAGAAAAATCTGTGATCTGTACTGACAATAGAAAATACCGATAGACAGCTTCCATTATTCCACAGTAGCAGCAATTTTTCCAGCTGTCATTTATTTTGTTTATTGATTAGACAGTATTTATAACTTTCTCAATCCCAAAGTAAAACGGGCATTATACAAATAACATTAAAAAAACAATGTTACAGTAAAAGTACTCTAATCAAAATACATGTGACAGATGCCCTCAGTCAAAATAGCTAGTATTGAAGGGTCATTGAAATAACACATGTATTACTTGTTCATAATATCTAACAGATATTGCATGTAACATTCACTTATATCTGGGAGTACCCAATATAACACCTATGGGCACCAATGTGCCTGCTATTATTTTGCTTTACGAACATTAATCTTCCTGTTATACCTGACTCTGTGTGTGCGTGTGTGTGTATGTGAGTATATGTGCTTCCTTCAATCATGTATGTTTCTAAGAGACTGCCTATAGGTCACGCAATTGGCTTTGTGCCTAAGGGAGGACTAGAATTCATGATATCCTGGTTTTTAGGTTAATACACACAGAGAGAGACAGAAAGAGAGACAGACAGAGATATAGAGACAGAAAGAGAAGGAAGAAAGGAAAGAAAGAAAGAAAGAAAGAAAGAAAGAAAGAAAGAAAGAAAGAA